CAGACTTTTGCACCGGGGGGAAGCGGGGCGTTACGAAACGCCTGTGCCCCCCGCTCCCCCGGTCGCCTCTCCCTCCCCGTATCTCTCGTTTAACTCCGCAATCCTGCGCTTGAACTCCCCGACACCATTGCACGCCTTTTATTTTCTCTTCTTTTAAGCCCCCCTTTCCTCTCTTTTTTTTTTTTTTAATTATTTTTTCAATGTGTGTTACGTGTTGTTGCAAAAACAAAACCCTCTCAAAACCACCCCAGAAAGGTGGACGTGTTTTTTCTCTCTCCAGGCAGATCTTGCACAAAATAAAGTTGGATCGTGTTCCGTGGTAAATCCTGCTTGGGGGGGGAGAAAAGGTAAAATCGGGAAGCGAGCGAAAAAATAATGACACTTGGGCAGCAACGGACCTTCTTGGTATTCAACTCCTGTGGATTTATTGTGTTTTGGGTGGTTTTTTTCCTCCCCTCGACTGCGTACATCTGCGTATTTCAAAGAAAAGCCAAATAGAGGTTGCTTTATTAAAAATCCACGCAGATAATTAATTGTACGTGGGCAGGGGAGAGCCGCTGGCGTGTAACTTGTTCGCTCGGGGTGTGTTTGCTTTTGGAAAAGAGGGTATTTTGAAAGAGATCGCAGGGAGAAATATTTGGATTCATGTCGGGGAAGAAGCACAGCTCTGTGTTTCAGTCTTGTTGTTTTTTTTTTAAAAAAAAATAATAAATAATAAAAAGATACAGGCGCTGGTAGGCATTTTAACAGGTGGACTTCTGAGCCCTAGGGATTTATTTTGGTTGGGGCTTTATCCCTGCTCCAGCTGATGAGATCTTTTTGCCCTGGTGGATTTGACTTGAGATCTTTTTTCCTTTTGTGTTTCCAAGTATTGGATGAGAATATCTCCATGAAACGCTGTGTGTGTCCTGCATGCCAAGTTCAAGGCAGGTGGCTGCTTGGGTGTAATGTCACACTTGGGGAAAGGGGACACACACACAGGAGTGTCAAGACTTGCTGTCTGAAGAGCTGTGTCTTCGCGGGCGCTTGGCAAAATCATGTTCGATGTGAAGAAATTTAAAGATGGAAATAAACTCACTTGGTAGGAATAGTAAATAACAGCTGCTGTATCGTTGTAGGGGGGTCTGAAGCTCGCACATACTCCCCATTAAAAACCAGAGGGGCAGTGACCCGTCAGACTTGTCTGAAACGTATTGGAGGTCTGTGTGCATTAGCAAACCTATCGAGGGTTTGATTTCTATGGAGAACAGGTTTGGTTTGTGGGGTTTTGATAATGAACGTGCTCTCGACTCAGGCAGAGTTAGTGTAGGACTGGGCTGGAGGCTGGGGGGAGGGGGATGGTGAAAGTGAAAGGTGGAAAGCAAAACTGAAATTGAAGACACGGTTTTATTTCTGTCCTAATGGAGCTGTAAAAAAGAATATGTGCACTGTCGGAAATGGATGACTATTTTGCCAATTCTCAGTTGCCACTCGTTACAGGTTTAGATATGCCTCGGTGTATAAGACAATATATTTAACCTTGTTTTAATAGGTAGATTCAGTTATGATGGTACATTATTAGCAATTCTTGTTTTATCTGGGGTCTCTTTTTGGATGTGGAAGGTCAAACAGAAAGCTACACTAAAAACACATCCTAGAGAGAAAATTATGTCTTTGTACTCTGAGAACAGAGGAGATGAAAATCATATTTTGCATGTGAGTCTGCACTTGCATACTCTTTTTCTATCACAGTTGATTAGAAAGATAACTATGTATAAATAGTTGTCTCTTGTAATTGGCCTTTGCCTCTTGCAGGAGTCGTTCTGTAATGTCACAGTTTAGTGTTTACTGTTGTGAAATTGATATGGATTTCACAGCGCCTGGACTGTGACATCCGAGGCAGAAGGAAACCAAAGAGAAGAGGGTGTGCTGTGTCACTTTGTTGGTAACACACCATCTGTTAACGATGTGCGCCTGTACAGTGCTTGTGTCCTGTCCCCCCAAAAAAAAACCTTCAGAGCACCTTATCGAGATGATCAATAATGACCAGATCGAGAGGAAATCCATTGCTGCACTAAAACGCAGCTGCCTTGGGCATGAAATGTGGTGACTTTTAAGGCAGCGGCTGTAGATCAGAAGAGTATTGTGACCAGCTGGATGTATGGAGGGAAGTGCTAGAGAAGAAACCACTTGTAATCTGTCTATCTGAGGACCATGAGCCTGTAAGTCATTTAATTCCTAGTTTCCACGTACTCACTCCTAGCAGATCTTGGCTGCCCTTGAGGGGATGAAAATGCAGACTGTGGTGGGTTGACCTTGGCTGACCACCAGGTGACTGCCGAGCTGCTCCATGGGTCCCCCTCCTCAACAGGACAGCTCATGATCACGGAAGGCAGGCAGCATAAATCCCATCATTTCAGCCTTATGAAAGGAGCCTTTACTTCCTCGATGTCGTATCTTCAAACTTCACCTTTACCCGTTTCACTCGCTGGCTGTGCTTGGTAGGCAGAGGAACCCTTTGTGTAGCACCTCGTCGCTGACCTCTTCAAGTCCCTGTTGTGTATTTTTTTCCCCTCATTTTCTTTCCAGGCCCTTTTCTTTCTTTTGCGTTGCTGCGTTAGGCTTGATTCTAGTTTACTTACTGGGTTGTTCCTCCTCTTGTGCCCTCGAGACAGTTGCACTGTACAAATAAACAGCACATAACAAAAAAGTTGGGCTTACAGGAGACCTTTCTGATCCAGTAGCTGTTTTGTCAGAGGTGCAGGTGTGCTGCTCGTGGGAGGAGCTGCTTATACCGCCCTCCGTTTCTGTTGTGCCTTTTAAGTGAATCTCCCAAAGTGCTCTTCCATGAGTTAATCTCTACCTTGCTTTTTGTGAGGCAGGTAAACATAAAAACCAGTTTATGGAGGGAGTCGCTGAGGGCGTTGGGAACTGGGAGGGCATTAAAGGAGTTAGGTGGGGAGGTGGCTGTTTCAAGACACTGAATTTATTGTTCAGTCTTGAGCGATTTGCCGAAAGACAAAGTGTGTGCCAGTAGCAGAGTCAGAAATAGCATCCAGGAGAGCTGCCTTTACACATTTTTTTTTCTCGGACTTACTATTCCCTCTGTACACACATGTAAACAAAGCTCTGGTCTTAGTGAACACCTGCCTGGGATTACAGCAGAGAACTTCACAGCAAAATACTCTTTTATTTGAAATAGAAATTCCGTGGTGAATTCATTTTGGTTTTAAATCCTGTAACATCTCTGAATATGAGATGCTAATGTTTATTCTTAAGGTTATCACAGACGTCAGTTTCTATAGGTGAATGTCCTGAGGTGTCCCGGATCCTCCTTTCTCCAGAGTTCAGAGGCCAGTGACACCAATATGAGTCAGTATAGCTGAACAATGCAGCCCTAAAGTACGTTGCTGATTTTCTGATTGAGGTGAAGTTTGAAAGTTTTCCCTGGTCTCTGAGAAGGTAAAGATTTCATTATAAATCTGCTTTCCATCTGTAAAGCAAGAAGCCAGATAATTGGCATCTGGTGGGATAATTTGCTGTGAAAATGAACACAGTAATTTAGGGCAGGCGTAGTTATTCCCTAAAATCTGTGAAATATTTGAGCTGAGTCTCTCCAGTGTGAGCAAAGTTTTTTTAGGAGGTGCTGATACAGAGCACATTTTCTGTGGTTAATTTGATGTACATGAAATAAACTGCAGATATATTGATAAATTATGTAGTAAAACTGTAGCAATGTGTTCAGCGTTCATTTTTTCCAGATCACTTGAGTTCTAATTTTTTTTATCGTTTTTCATTCCAGATTACCATCATGAGATATATAAGATCTCTGACTACAGCAATGATGTTAATGGGGAGACCAAAGAAACACAACCAGTTTTTTTAGGTATGTGCTTGTGTTGATTAATTTCCGAGCAACATAGCGTGGCCATTTGCAATTAGGGAGGGAAAAAATCTCTGTGCAAGCACAGGAAGCGCCTGCCATTGTTTAATCTGACGTTCTTTTCAAGACCCTTTTATCCTATGAATTGCCAATATATCCTTTATTAACACTGCTAAAAGTTGTAATTTCAGACATAAATGTTTATTAGTGTCTACACACAGTGCTAATTATCGCTCACTCAGAGAGCCAGATGCTGACTCTGCAGTTTTGCAGCTCTGTGCTCACCCCATTTACATTGCATATTCGCTGGCATGCTTCACTGGCAATAGTTTGTGTAATTGGGGTATTACATCTTTGACATCTGGATAACAGAAATTCAATTTCCAGGAAGCTGCTATTTGTTTGGTTTTGCTTCTGCCTTGGGTGGGATAGAGGATTAATGTGCTGTCTTAATGTAATGTCCTTTCACCTCTGTAGCTTGCCTGCTAATCCTGCCATGGCAAAATTAAATTAAATCAACAGTTAAAAATGTGTAAAGAAAACAGAGAAGTAATATAGAGTCTGCAGCATGATATATACTACAGCATGATAGGACTGGTTATCAGCAAACCTTTATCTTTCTTGTCTGTGTGCTTTTTGTCCTGTATAACTCCTCAGCTGCAGAGTGCTGCTTCCTTTCCTGCTTCCATCCCCCTCCTGTTGCATCTAGGATCTCACCTGGGTAAAGCACCTCTTGGCAAAAAAATTGGCAGGTCAAATCCAAAGGAGTAAGGGCTGGATTTTTGAGCTACTGTAATGATTCTTGCTGTATAAAGCAAGCTGTTGGACACCTGACTCAGGCTTTGGAGAAAGCAGGTGCCCCAGAAAGAAATTTGCCAGTGGCTGCCTCTCCTTTACTGCACCAGGAGCCTAAATATTTTTGTAGTAGGATTTAAGGTTTCTGTAGTCTGTGCGTGTTGCCCCCTGGAGTCAGCAAGAAGCATTGGTCCCAAATGTATGAATCAGCACCTGGAGTCAGTCTACATGCAAAATGCCTTTGTCTCCTTAATTCATAGTGCCACATCCTCTTCTAGAGGCCAGCAGCAAAGGGGAGAGAACAGGAGGACATCTTGGGCAGTGTGGAGTCTTCTGATGGTTGGAATATTAATACAGGGGTGAGAGCTGTGTTAAATTGCCTTCTCAGCTTCTCGCAGTTAGGATGTCGAGCAAATATTTCTTCCCTGCACCCATTTCCAGGGAGAAGTGAAGGTGGCTGCTGCGCTTTGTGTTTGGATTTTGTGTTCCGTAAGCACTTTCAGTTAAGTCTGATAAACCTGATGGAGTGAGCTCCACCAGAGCTTTGCTTTGAATGCTTTTCTCTTCCAACCCTAAATCATGATAAAGCTTTGACAGGAGTTATAGATCTCGTTGCTTAAGCCAAGATGCTTCTAAAAATGTGCAGGAGTCTGTGCTTTGACATCTGTGCCACGAGTCAGATCGATTGATTTTGCTTTTGGTGTGGCCGTGTTGTGCTTGTTTTGGGGGTTTTTAGTGAGTACGCCCAGCTTTTCACTGTGACTGAATGTGCTCTGGCATTTAAGTGCCTAAAGTTCACCTATTGCAAGAGCCAGTCAGAATTCAACGTTCAAGAATGCGAGTCCTATCAAGGGTCTTCCTTATCAGGTACTGAAGCACAGAGTTGCAGTCCTGGGAGCCCACCTTCAGTTGCTATGGAAAGAAAAAGGCGCTATTTCCTGACCATGTCCCGAGTGTCCGACTTTCAGATTTCCTCAAAGCGTGCTGGTTTTGACAAGACTGAATGACGTATGACCACGCAAGATTTGTAGACAAGGCTTTTTTTTTCCTTTTTCCTTGGGGACTGCGTTCAGTTCAGTAAGTTACTCAGAGCTCACGTAACCTTCTCCGCTTTATTTTCAGTAGGTTACTTTGGTGTCCACTTCTATCCAGATTCC